ACGACCTGTCCCAGTCAGTGCGGGGATCGCGAGCTGCTGTGCGTAAAGAATTGGCGGCATGTGTCATCAATACTTGTGAGGAGCTGAGGGCCAAGCAGCTGAAGGTCGCGCCCAAGTCAGTTATCATATGTTCGTCGTTCCAGGACGCTCAATGGGTTGCCAGGCGAGTGGCTCGTGCAGGGTACTCTGTGCAGCCCGTCAAGCAAGCCACCTACTTTGGGGTCGACCTGGGCGGGGGCAAAAGGATGGCTCGCGAAACGAGGGTAAAGAGGGGCGCCAAACACAAGGCCATGAGTGGCAAGGTGCGTCGGTATGCGTTCGTGTCGAAGAAGTATCGGATAACGGGAAGGCTCGAGAAGCAGGGGGCGCAGGCGGCAGGGGTGCACGGGCACCAAGCCTACGGCACCTTCGGCGCCAGGATGACGCAGGCTCGGCGGCGCTTGGGGCAGGCGTTGGCGGCGCCCACGCGGGGCCGCTGCCTGACCACGCTGCTGGCCCTGCGGGCTGGGGATCTTGACCCAGCGATCAAGCTACCAGTCGAGACGCTGGACTTGTGGCTGCGGACCTGGAGAGAGCAGCCCGAGCTACGAGCAGGTGTGCGGCAGGCGTGGGACAACGTCTACAGGCACATGGAGGAGCTACCAGCCGCGCAGCGAGTGCGCCATGTGAGGGGCCCTCTCACGGCCACCGTCCTGCACCTGGTGGAGGCAGGCTGGGACTAGGAGGAGTCGGCTTGCGGGGGGGGTCGGGCGCGCGGGAGGCGGGCGGAGGCGTCGCCGGCGCCCCGCGCCCCCGGGGGGCTCCATGTTGGATTTCCCAGGCTGCGCCAAGCGCGCGCGTTACTTGCCCGCGCGCTCACATTCGCGCAAGCGCATCCTAAGAAACTACGATTTGGATCGGAACCGGGCGACAACGGGCATGGGGCGCCTGTCAAGGCTGCTCCTGGGAGCGATTGCTGCTGGCTTGACACGCGCGATATGCATGTAACGACTTTTGGAAAAAGAGCGCTGCGCCGTCCAATCCAACGCGGCAATGGCGCGGCCCGGGGCGCGCGGCCGTCGCGGCACACGGCGGTCGACGTGACCGCATGGGGCGCGCGATCGGCTGCGCGGCATTGGCGGGCCATTCGGCCGACGCTGCCGGGTCGCCCTCAAACAGCCCGCCAGGAATGCGCAAATGCGCAATGCGCCAGCGCGCCGCCAGGATATCGCCTTGAAAACAAACTGTTCACTCTGAACGCCGACTGAGCGCCTCGCTGAACCAGCGAAGTCGCGCGGCGCGCCCGCGCCGCGGACCCGCCGCAATGAACTCGCGGGAAAAAGGCCTCTCTCCATGGGTTCTGGCACCGATTCTGGCCTACTTCCCCGTTCTGGCCGATTCTGGTTTCATCGCCGATTCCTCCTTTGATTCCGTATTGATTCCGCGCTGATTCTTTTGATTCCGCCAGAATCAGGGGTCGCAGTTGTGCCGATTCTGTTTTGATTCTGTACTGATTCCGTGCTGATTCCTTTGATTCCCCTGTGCCCCGGGGGCCGCCAGGCCGCGGCCCGAGCTCCCGCCTCGGCGGCATGGTTTTTCCAGGAGCGCGGAAGAGTTTTGAAGGGGGGGGCGGGGCGGGGGGGAGGCGGAGCGATTTTTGGGGCGCATCGGGCGGCCGAGCCACAGATTTCCAGACCCAGTGCGCACGCCCAACATGGCAGGCGCGGGCGCGCGCGCGAGTTCTCGACCGTCGGCGCATCTGTAAGTTCATGCCCCGCCCCGCGCGCGGGAATGGAAACTTGCGCTGCGGTTTCCAATTGAACGCGCGGCCGTCGCAACTGCATCGCATTGCTCAGCGCGCAAAGCGCGCGAGCAGCATGGGGGGCTTTGCGTTCTAGCATGAGAAGTGCGCGGAACCGAACCGATCGGTCGGCGGCGCCCGCTCCTGCGCCCAGCGCGAGGCCATTGCGTCAGCGCGGGGGGCTACAGGGGCCTGGGCCGTCGCCCTGGGGCGCGGGCGCAGCGCGAGGCCCGCGCGGGTCTCTCGCGCCAAACATGCGCAACAAGGTCGGCCCGCCCGCCGGCTGGCCCTCGCGGGCGACGCGACGCCGGCGCCGACTGCGAGGCCGACTGGGCCCGGAGGATTCCTGAGAGTCCCGGGAAGGGGCAGCGGGCCGCGATGGAATCGGCGCGGTCGTTGGCGCCCCCCCCGCGCCCGGCCCCCCCTGCAAGCCGACTCCTCCTAGCTGGGACCCGCAGCAGGCCACATCATGGGATCTCCCTGCTAGCCACCCTGCTGCTGGGGACACATGGGAGTTCGACGATGACATGTACTCGGGCATTGCAGCATTGGACTCGCACCAGGGCTTCATCATGGACTTCAAGCAGACCCTGAAGCACAGCCTGTGGCAGAAGGCGGGTCAGCACTTCTGCGGGGCTGGCCTGACCCAGGGCGTCGACTGTGTGTCATACCAGATCTTGCTGCAGCAGCTGGCAGCGGTCCCAGTGCACGGTCACCGCTTGGCGGAGGTCATGCTGGCATGTGCAGCGGGTGGTTGCTGGCCGCGGCAACGCAAGAAAAATGAGCTGAGCAGGTACACGGGTGATGTCGTGTGTCCGCGATGTCGGACAGCACCAGAATACATGATGCATCGGATATGGTTATGTGAAAGCAACGTCGAGAAAGATGCGTACACTGAGCCGGACGATCTGATCCCACAGGCCCTCGCACAAGGAGGGGCCGACCAGGCCTTCTGGCTCCGTGGCCTCATCCCAGCGCCCTGGACAGAGGTGCCGCCGCCTTGTGATACTGAGGTGTGGGTCGGCACCGAGGAGCTGTTCGGGGAGGCTGTAGTCGAGGGTTGTGTCGCTGGAGGATCGGTGCAGGCGCCGCTTTTTGCTTTTGGAGATGCGAGCGGGGGGGCAGACACGGCCAGCCCGCTTTTCAGACGTGTAGGTGTCGCTGTGGCGTTCACGCATGCTCTAGAGCCCCAGCTGCAGTTAGCCTCGACTGTCAGAGGCCCGCTGACGGGACCCAGACAGATTGTTGCTCGAGGCGAGTTGCGTGCTTTGCTCTTGGCAATCTGGATGACCACAGGCTCCATCGTTTTCATTTCGGATTGCGAATCGGTAGTTTCAGGATTTTATTGTCGCAAGTCCGAGGCGCCCACAGGCGAGGACGCCGACCTATGGGCGCGCCTGGGCATTCTGTTGAGAAAGAGGTCCCAGGACGCCATCACAGTCCTTTTTGTCAATTCGCACCTGTCTGCCACGGACATCGTCGAAGGGAAGGCCCCTCGGTGGATGGTGGCTGGCAACCTGATAGTGGACGAGATCGCTGGACAAGCGGCTCGTGAAGCCCGCTTGGCAGAGGCGGTCCGTAATAGAGTGCTGCTACAGGAGAGGAAAGCTCGGCTCGTCAGGATGCGTATTCTGCGAGCCACTCTCGACTCCATGGCGGCTGAGGATAAGGAAAGGTGTGCTGAGGAGGAAAAAGGTCCTGCCGTCCCTCCCCGTCCTCCGCCTCCTGCTGCTGCCTCTATCGCCCTTCTTGCCTCGTCCCATTCTGTGGACGGCACAGGGTGCAGGTGCACCAGGTGCGGAGGATCGGCGTCGAAAGCGACCCGAACGGAATGGCTCAGGTCCCCATGTTTCTCCCCGATCAATTATAATGGCGTGTTCTTTCGGAAACCTCAGGGCGCGTTGTTACACATCGCGGGTGGCTATGTTCACCCCAGTCATCGAATGCAGTTCCATGGTGATTTGAAGTTGTGGTATTGCGTCGGCTGTGGCAGCTACGGATCGCAGCAGCTCCTGGCCCTGGGTCGTGTGTGCGTGACGCCTCCCACCCCGCACAGGGCCGAGTATCTGCGGCTGATCTCCCAAGGCTTGTGGCCAAAGGTCCTGAGCAAGGCTGAGAAAGCCACCAGGCGCAAGCGTAATGTATAGCGATGTGAAGGATTCACTGACTTAGTCATATGGTCATGCTGATGCTCATTCTCCTCCTCCTCCTCCTCCTCCCTCTCCTCCTCCTCCTCCGCCTCCTCCTCCTCCTCCTCTCCCCTCCTCCTCCCCTCCTCCTCCTCCTCTTCCTCCTTCTCCTCCTCCTCCTCCCCTCCCCCACTCCTCCTCCTCCTCCTCCTCCTCCTCCTCCTCCTCGTCCTCCTGCTGCAGCTCATCGTTTTCATCCTCCTCCTCCTCCTTGTCCTCCTCTCCTCTCCTCTCCTATCCTCCTCCTCCTCCTCTCCTCCTCTCTCTCTCCTTCGTTATCCTCCTCCTCCTCCTCCTCCTGCTCCTTCTCCTGCTCCTCCTCCTCCGCTTCTCCTCGTCCTCCTACTCCTCCTCCTCTCCCTCCTCCTCCTCGTCCTCCTGATCATGCTCGTCGTCTTCATGGGCACATTGATACAAAAGAGCCCGATAGACTTTGCCACCGAGACGAAATTCACTCTTGCTCGCCAATCGATGGAACACTTTCCGAGACCAGACAGAAACCTGAGGATTGAATGGGCTCGCTAAACTCGTGACCCGAGCGGCGATCAAACAAGCGTTTTGTCCTCCTCGTCCTCCTCATCCTCCTGCATCTCCTCCTCCTCCTCCTTCTGCAAATCCAACTCCTCCTCCTCGTCCCTCCTCCTGGTCCTTCTCCTGCTCCTCCTCATGTTCCTCCTCCTTGTCCATTTCCTCCTCCTCCTCTTCTTCCATCTCGTCCTCCTCCTTCTCCTCCTCCTCCTCCTCTTCCTCCTCTTCCACCTCCTCCTCCTCCTCCTCCACGTCCTCCTCCTCCTCCTCCTCCTCCTCCTCCTCCTCCTCCTCCTCCTCTTCATCGTCCTCCTCGCTCGTCCTGTTCATCCTCCTCCCTCCTCTGCCTCCGTGCCCTCCTCCTTCCCTCCCCCTCCCCTCCCTCCTCCCTCCCTCCCCCCCTCACCCCCTCCTTCCCTCCCTCTCTCCCTCACCCCCTCACCTTCCTCCTTCTCCTCCCAGTGGCCTCCCCGTCGCTGGCGGCAGCGAGGGGGGCGTGTCTCCGAAGTGTCGATCTGTTGCAGGCAGGCCAGCACGAAGACGGCCGTTTTGCCCATGCCCGACTTGGCCTGTGGTTCGCTGGTCGAATCGCCAGAGAAAGAGGAACAATAAGCAACGTAAGCATAAACGTTCGACGGTCCGCGCAGATTTCATGGATTTGCGCCGGCCCCCCCCCCACGCCGTGGCGCGCGGAGCGCGCCATGGGCCGCGCAAGAGGCGCCGCCAGGCGGGGATCAACCGCAGACCTAGGAAAGCCACGCGGACAATCGAAAATTGTTGCTCAAGCCCTCTCTCCGAAGCACGAGCCGAGGGCGAGCCCGCGAAGAGGAAGCGGAGGGCCACTCGAGACCACGGCGGCCCGGGCTAGCATTTGTCACCCGTCTCGGGTTGGAGGCTGCTCGTCGCCGCGGCTGAGCCCGCCTCGATACATCGAGACGGGCCAGGGGAAGGGCTCAGGCCCGCCAGGCGCCGCGGGTGATCAGTTAATGTCGTGGCCTTTTTCCCTACGCGCCGACCTCCACCTCCTCTTCCTCCTCCTCCTCCTCCTCCTCCTCCTCCTCCTCTTCCATATCCTCCTCCTCCTCTTCCATAACCTCCTCCTCCTCCTCCTCCTCCTCCTCCTCCTGTTCCATATCCTCCTCCTCCTCCTCCTCCTCTTCCTTCTTCTCCTCCTCCAGTTGCAACCCAAATCGCGCATGAATACATGCAAGGGTAAGTCGGAGACATATCTGCTATTTCGGGGCAGCGGCTGTTGCCGTAAAGGGGGGGGCCGGCGGGTAACGGTAACGGCGGCCGCGGCGCGCGCCCGCCAGAGTGCGTCCGCGCCATCGGCGCATCAATTGCCTGCGCGCGATGCGATCCCTGCGCGCGCGACAATGCGAAATGCATTCGAGCAAATACGCCGCCTGAGTGCACCACACTGCTTCGGTACACCACAACAGATGCGTGCACAACGCCACCACTTCGCCCACGTACGCCGCAACATCTGTGTATACTGCAGCAACCGTGTGCGCAACAGCGTTTGTGTACACCACGTTGCCTGCGTGTGCCAGAGCGCTCGTGTACACCGCACCGCCTGCGTGCACCACATCAACCATGTGCACCACAACGCCTGCGCACGCCACAATGTTTCCGTGCACCACAACGCTTGCCCACGACAAGAATGTGCCAACGGGCACATCAGTAGTTTGCGAAGCCTTTTTTTTTTCCTGCGGGGCCCGCCACCGACCACGGAAGCCCTCACCACGTCGCCCGTGTATACCGCAGCACTTGGAGAGTCGTATCGATGGCGCGCAAGCTGCTTGGCTGGCACTCTGTGAAGTTGCGGCAAGACCATCCGTAGTTTGCTTCGAACGAGACGGGCGGGAGGGGGCGGGGGAGGTTGGACGGAGGTGCAAGTTTTTACAGAAACATAGAATCTAATAGAAACGGCACGTGAACATGTAGTAACGAAAAGTCACATCGTACCTCGGCGCGCCAACACGCAACGAACATGTCACGAAATTCGGCCCGCGAGTGCGAGCAAAAACCTACGAGGAGGACGAGGAAGAGCGAGGGGGAGGACGAGGCGAAGGGGCAAGTGCGCTACGCGGATAGCCCCACATGGCCGAAACGGGCACTTATATAATCTCAATAACGCACAGCGCACTCCAGAGGGGAAATGAGGGGAGAGGAGGAGGAGGAGGAGGAGGAGGGGCAGAGGAGCAGGCGGGAGGAGGTAGGATTATGTTATGCCCTACAACAACTGCGCTGCACTCATGGCATCGTTCGACGTCGCCTCGCCTTCGTCAGCGCCAAGTGTACAAGACGCCGGGTAATCGTTGTTCCACCCAAACATGGCTGCGAAACCCCTTGGCAGCATTGCTTCCAGAGTTCCAACAGTAGGAAGAGCAGGGCAAGAGAACATAGGGATGTAGACGTAAACCACACTAGCCTGCGCACTGCAATAGCCTGCAGGCGCCACAACAGGCAGGTGAGCACCGAGACATGCTTTTTAGCACCACGCCATGCTTGTGAATTCGGCGCCGCAACAGGTGGGGAACCCGCGAACGCCACAACACGTTTGTGAACACTACGCGCGCCTTCAGCACCACGCCATGCGTGTGTAGCACAGCGCCATACCTGTTGAGAGGAGGGGGGCCCGCCCTGCACCCCCAAAACAACATACGATCGTTAGCGTTACCCGGGGGTGGGGGTGGGAGGGGGGGCTGGGCCCGGCTAGCAAGCGTTACCCGCCAGAGGGGGGGAAACAAACGCTCTTTAATAAAGGACAAGCTAACTACTCACAAGAGAAAGGTGGGGCGGTCCCATCCGAACTCCCGCCCCTGGCAGCACTCCTTGGCGCAGCTTCCTCAGATCGGAGAGTTCCTTGGCGGGCCTGCACGGGCCTGAGAGCCTCGGGCCGACCTTCGTGGAAGCAAACCCTCCACACCTGCTGCATTTGCACCGGATTACGAGGCATCTCAGGTCCCTCGACCCAGGAAATCAAGAGAGCATGGCCCAGGATGTCATCTCTCTTTTTTTTCTCTCTCTCTCTCTCTCTCTCTCTTTCTCTCTCGATCAGCAAACACCCGGAGCGGTTCGTTCACTCCCCTGCACGGCCCCGAACTCTCGACCCCCGACGTCCAAAGGCTGCGTCGGCGCCGCCATTGACTCGTCAAGCTCCACCGCGCAAACTCATGACGGGGGGGGGTGGGTCGGAGCTTCCTTTCGCAAATTCGTTTGTCAAGTTGGCCAAACTGCTCCTGGAGAGACGGCCAACACGCAGCTGCGAGCTTTGTCTGCGAAGACGACCAAAACTGCTGACCTTCTTGGTCCAAGCGACCATCAGACGCAAGAGCACCGAGCTTCGAACTCCAGTCTGCAACTTGCCAGCCGAACTCATCTGAAGGCGGGGCCCTCGAAGGTGCAACAGCCTGGGCTCTGGCGGCTGCAAGCTCCTTCTCGAGATTAGCTGTCCCTTGCTTCTCTTTTTGCAACTCCTCCTGCTGATTTTCGATATGCTCAGCCGGCGGTGCGACACGATCATTGCGGCTATGGAGTTGCTTCACCTTTTCCTGGACAAACGACCCAGCACGACTGACCAACACACTGGCTGGGGGCTGTTCATCACGAGCCTGTCGCCCATTTGACAAAAACACTTTTGCAACAAACCCACAGCCGCTTCTTCGGGGATGGACAGACCCCCCTTTAGTAAAACGTGGTTTAGTGAAGACGACCTGAGGCCCAAACCTGGCGGGCGCAAGCCTAGAAAATAACGGCCACGGCGCCCTCTCGAGAACCGAAAACGGACAATTCACTAATCGACGTGTCACTGTTGGGGGTTCTGTCCACCCCCGACTTCTCCAAGCTGCTCGAACTTGGAGCCTTCACCCTCGAGGCGCTGGTGGAGACCATCCGCCGTGCCAAGCTGGCGGGGCTGGTGCTGTGGCCGTGGCCTCCCTCGCTGCCTTTTGCCCGCTCTGCCTTCGCCTGGGCCCTGGGGAGGTCCAGGGCCAAGCACCCCAAGACCGGCCCCCTTTGTAGGAACAAGGAAAGGCGACACCAACACCAGCAGGGCGAGGAGGTGCGAGGAGGCAAGCGGGGTTCTCCCTGGTGGTGTGGTCCCCCCCTCTCGCCCGAGACATCCCCAGCCTCCAGCCTGGGGAGGCAGCGTGGACCTCCTCGCTGGAGGTGGGTCCCCTGGTGGTGTTGGTATCGCTTCTCCTCCCTCCGACTTTGCCTGTGTCCGCACTCGGCATGGATCCACACACACGACGTCTTGGGCAAGGGCTGGCTGGGAACATAACACTGGTCGGTGCCGCTAGCATAGCACCAGTTGCAGTGGGTAGGATTCCGACGACAGCCGCAAGCACTACACACAAGGCTGCCACGAGAGAAGTGCTATCCTTTCCCGACATTGACAAGCCTGGCAAGCAACGTGTAAACTGAAGCGACTGTGGGAAGAAACTGTTGTAGTCAGTGAAGCAGCGGGAGAACCTCACTTCAACACGCAGACTGGAAACTGTTGGGGCCGCGAACTCCCCTTGCCGGAGTGACCTCTGTCCTTGAGCAATGCCTCAGGACATGGACCATAATGGCTACGAAACCTTCCCCTCCTCCTCCTCCTTTTCATCCTTTTCCTCCTCCTCCTCCTCCTCTTCCTCCTCCTCCATCTCCATTTCCTCCTCCTCCTCCTTCTCCTCCTCCTCCTCGTCCAACTCCTCCTCCAATTCCTCGCTCCATGATGCCATCGTTCCCCCCCTCCCTCCTGCATCCCGCTCCCCATCCCCCTCCTCCCGCTCCCCCGTCCTCTTGATTCCAGTCAGAAACTTGGCTCTGGTCAACCCAATGTTAGAAGCGTGTGCGCTGCTTCCTCACGAGAGCACTCACTTGCTAGCCTAAGCCAGACTGAGTCGAACGTCCAGGCCCGTTCGGGTCACGTTCCGTTACTTCGCGATGTGTCCAATCCATTCCGTTCCATGACGTGCACTTACAGTCTACTACATTCCCCCTCCATCCTCCTTAGCCTCCTCCTTCTTCTCCTCCTAGTCCTTCCCATCCTCCTTCTCCTCTTCCTCCTCCTCCTCCACCTCCTTTTCCTTCTCCTCCATCGTCCAATCTCCCCGATCGGGATTGTGCTGGGCCCTCTGCCTCCATCCCTGCTGCTTCCTGGTCTGCAGCATCTGCTCAAGCCGTTTGGATCGAGCATCTCCCTGACCAGGTCCCCCGACCGTTCTCCAGTCTCTGCATATCAGGTGGGCCATTCATACATGCTCGATGTCGAGGGCAAGTACGGGGCCTGCGCGGCCACGGCAAGGAGAACTAGTTCGACGCATCATGGGGTCAAGCCTCCGCGAATTTCGAGAGCGCACGGATTTCAATTACACGTCGTGCCCGTGCACCAGGCACAGCACATCTGGGCCCAGCCTTTGCGTGATTATGTAGCAGTCTAGTGGAGCAGCGTGAACACTGTGGTTCAGCAGCTGCATCGTCATCGTGGTCGCGGCAACGGTCGGCAACAGGTCGATCACCTATGGAAGGCTGCGGGCAAGCTGGCAGACTGCGCCACCGACGGTGTCGACGAGAT